AATCCAATATCTGGTCGCTCCTTGGTGTCTTGGGAAACATTGGCTAACTTGGATACCATTTTAAGGGACCTAAATTTGGATTCCTTTGTCACAAGAAATTGAAAATTTTAGAAAGTCAGGATGGAGATTTGTCAGAGAGTTGTACATGAAAAGATAAATTTGTATATCATATGGATAGCTATCAGGCTTCTGCCTGAGACCCCTCCTATGTCCTGGCCCCAGAGCTGGTGTTTCTTTGTCAGTGCTTGGGGCTGGAAGGAGGTAATGCTCACTAACCTAAAGTCTTTAGCCTCAGCTTACCACGGTTTTAGCAATGTCAGGGGGTGTTTTGCAACATTTACTCATTCCAAAGTTCACAGAGAAATATAATCACAACTTATTTATATGTGATAGAAAGCAACAGAAATCTTCATATTGTTATAAAGTTGTATGAGAAACACGTAAGCAGATATCTTTAAAAGAGGGATTGTCTTCAAGTGGTTAATGACAGACTCACTTCTCTTTAATTGAACACATAGGTTTCTTCTCAGAACAGGGTCTTCTCTTCTGCTTAAGGACATTAATAATAAATTCTAGCAAACATTTCTTATCATAGTTGTTGAGTTTGACATGCACATGTTTACATTTCTCACCTGTTGGAATTTGGAATGTGTGGCAGATCATGAATGGAGTAAGAAGAATTAAAGATGCTTACTTAGAAGACTATATTTAAAAATGTTCCCAAAATTTATTTTAAAAGAAGCCAGATATGAGATAAAAAATAAAAACTTGGGAGATTGAATTAGAGCACAAAATGTTAACAAATACATTTTAGAAAGAGAGTGGGGAAGAAGTAGTATCAGAATATTGCACAAAAGAAAAAAATCTGTCCGGAAGAACAATCTGAGAAACTGCACAGGTGCTAAGAAATAGCTCAATGCAATATATTTGAGGCTTTTATGTGGTTACCAAACTATGCTATTTGAGTGTATAATTGTGGCCCCTCATTATAAGTGGGAGTGAGTAAAAATTTTTCTTAGAATAATGACTGGGCACACAGTGTCCTTTTCAGCTCTACCATCACTTCTGTTTTTTTTTTTGGTCTAGTGAGCGCATAGCTGATATTTATGCTTTCCTGATACACTGTACTCATTGCTGACATTGGAGAAGATCAGGGAAAAGGCCCAAGATGAGTGACCTTTAGGGACATTTCTGTTCTCTTCCTGTACTCTCCTGCCAAGGACAAGTCGGTCTTGCATCAGGCCTGCAGGAACCTCAGTTGGTGATAATATCAGGCAATGTCAGCCTGGCCTCTTTACTGCTCCTTGTCTCTGACATTCCTTTGCTGCCTGATGGTCTAACTTAAGCCACCTAGGCAGGATTGCTCTTCCCCAGTTCCTGTGGAAAACAGTGTCTGGTGAGACCAGAGACACAAATCTCAATAATACAGTGGGATCTGCTGGGACCAAGCAACTACTCTCTGCCTAAGAGAAAACTCATGAAGCTCAGCTAGAACAAACCCACTTTCCATACAGCGAGAAAGAATTGCCAATTAATGTATTCCCCTTTCAAGTACATCTATATTTATGCCAGGGAAAATACCACTCTGCCTGGTTCCCTTGCAAGGGCAAAGTTACCTGTAGGAAAGCCTTTGTATTAGGAAGTCTCCCTGTAGTATTACCCACAACCCTTCAGAAGGGCCAGACCAGACCCTCATCTGCACAGCCCAGGATCCACTCATCCACAATGGTCAAGAGGCCTGTCTTTAGGATTTCCTGTCGCACACCCTCTCTACCCCCATCATACCTCCAACCAAGCTGTCCTCAAATTAACACCAGCCATGCACAAAATGTGAACTATTACACAAGACACACAGAAGGTCTAAGTGGAAAGCGGCAGCTGTTGATAGTGACTAACCTGTATATTTCATGAACTGATGAGCAGGGATTTACCAGATAAAACAGAAGAATCAGCAGCTGGAAGAAGTGCTAACAATGCAGGACTCTGATAGGGCTTTGTGGAAACACAACATTTATTGTGAAATTACACAGACAGGAATGAAAAAAGGTGGTGAGGAGTACTATATCCTATTACTTAGAAGATTAAATAAAGGAAATCTCACAAATTCATGGGGGAAAAAGCCAGATAAATAATAAAAAATACACATAATGAACTTGACTCAGGAAATAAAATATGAATAAAGATGTAGTAGAAAGAACGTGGGGAGTAATGCCTATCAGAATATTGTAGACAAAAATACTCTTTGTGGAAGAACAATCTGAGGAAACGGGTACCACAAATACTGACTAAACCAAGAAAACCAATACAATGCAATTGAGGCTTTGATGGTGGTGTCTGATTATGTTATTTGAATGTAGAATTGTGGCCACTTAATTATCAGTGGTAGGAATTTGATATAATCCCTAAAAGAAAGGAAGCAGTGGGTGAATTTTTTTTCGCCACCAACATTTTATTGCCATGTTAAATATTTATTTCACCATGGTGTCATGCTACTGGATGAGCAGTGATTTGGATAGATATTGTCCCTTCCTTCCAGGGACTTGGTATCCAAAACTGACATATCATTGTGAATAGACACATAAAGAAAATATATGGCTGCATGCTTTGCACAGGTAAACATAGGGATGTTTTATAGTCTTCCCTCAATCACCTAGGGATGTTATATACTTTGTAGATGAACAGTAGCAATATCTTAGTTCCAGACTCCCTGCTGTTACTTCACTCAAAGTACACAGCATCCCATTGTCATTGATTGTGTTGTGAGGCCAAACCTTTTCTTCCTGTTAGTCCAAATAAAATTAGTAGGCATATCTATTGCAAAAGAAATGATGACATACCTGCCAAAACTAAGAAGACTTAAAAAGTCCGCTTCTGTGTGCCTTCTCTGGGCTGTACCAATGTATAAAACCCTCTAGCACAGTGAGGGATATAGCAGGCACTTGGAGAATTTATTTTTTTCCTCAATTTTTTATTGTGAAAAGTTTTGCACCCAAGAAATGTTGAAAAATTGTATCATATCCATAAACTCTTCACCTAGATTTAATGATTGTTCATCATTGACCTTAGTTGCTTGTTTCTTTCAAGGTGTATATATATATATATATATAAAAATATATATATTATATATATATATAAATATATATATAAAATTCACCATGGTGTCATATATATTTTATACATACATATATATATATATATTATTGTTAAACTATTTGAATGTAAGTTGCAGATATCTTGACACTCTGCCACTAAATGTTTCAGCCTGCAGCTCTGAAGAACAAGGACACTCTCTTACATGTCAACAATACCATTATCACCTCCTGCATCAGAAACTCGAATTCAGTGATTCCACAATATCATCTAATAGTTAATCCACATTCACATTCCCCAATTCTTCCAAATACTTCTTTCTGGCTTTCTTGTTTCCAAACTAGACATTAATCAAGGGTTGCATATTGCATTCCGTTGAGTCTCTTTAGTTTGTTTTGATCTAGAAGAGTTCCCTCATTCATTCATTGATTCATTCATTTCTTCATGCATTTTTATAACACTGATATTTTGAAGCAGCTAGGCAAGTTGCCTTTAAGAATATCTCACATTCTGAATTCGTATGATTGCCTCCTCGTGGTGCCATTTAACTCGTGGAACATGTATTCTTTTACGATATTTCCCCTCCCCTGTGTTTATGAATTGTCAAGTTATCATCAGCCAGTACATTTGATGGTGGTGAGTGACAGGGAGACATGAAGAGTCCTGCAGGTGGGCAGATTTGTAATTTGTGTTTTTAAAATTATACTTTAAGTTCTAGGGTACATGTGCACAACGTGCAGGTTTGTTACATATGTATACATGTGCCATGTTGGTTTTCTGCACCCATTAACTTTTCATTTACATTAGGTATATCTCCTAATGCTATCCATCCCCCCTTCCCCCATCCCAGGACAGACCCAGGTGTGTGATGTTCCCCTCCCTGTGTCCAAGTGTTCTCATTGTTCAATTCCCACCTATGGTGAGAACATGCAGTGTTTGGTTTTTTGTCCTTGCAATAGTTTGCTGAGAATGATGCTTTCCAGCTTCATCCATGTCCCTACAGAGGACATGAACTCATCCTTTTTTATCGCTGCATAGTATTCCATGGTGTATATATGCCACATTTTCTTAATCCAGTCTATCATTGATGGGCATTTGGGTTGGTTCCAAGTCTTTGCTATTGTAAATAGAATTCCCTTTCCTAGCCAACAAAAGCTGTGACAGACGGCACCGGGAAAATCAGGTCACTCCCACCCTAATACTGTGTTTTTCCAATGGTCTTAGCAAACAGCACAGGAGTGGGTGAATTTTATAGAATATTCTAGAGAAAGGGAAGAGCATGAAGGAAGTTTTAGCGACATGACATCTCCTGGCTCCCTCACAGAACTCTGTATTCAGTTTTCTTAGGTCTAGAAATCTCCTGGTGGTTTCTGCGTTCATTTTGCATTAATAACCCCTAAAAATACTTTAAAATACAGAATTTTAGCCTTCCTGTGTTGTACAGCACCAAGCTTTGCCTGAGCTGAGTGAGATCCACAGAAGCTTGAACAATATCTGTAGCCTGAGCAGGCTGTGGGGCAGCTTTCTGTCATCTATGTGTGCCCAGGAGTGTGCTGTCCTCACACATCTCATAGATAGCAGAAGCCATCCCCATCACATCAAAAATTTAGCTAAAGATGAAAATACCTGTACACACACGTCACAAGAGATGGAAATAGGGCATAAAAAGATCCAGAGATATTGACCATCTTCATTGCTGGCTGTAGCATCGCTGCTCATACACACATAAACAGAAATAAGTATCACAGTGAAAAGTGGATAATAGTCTTACCTAAAAGACTGAAACTCTAATGATATCTAAAGTTCAATTATGACACAGTGCTGATGGCTTGGACACAGTTCCTTCAAACCATTGTTCAAGTCACAGTTGTACCTTTTAGAAATAAGACACTAACAACATATCTGACCCAACCCATCCCTCTGGGCTAGAGTATCAAAGAGAGATAAGGGATACACCTGACCTGCAGTGAGCAAAGCAGAGCCCAGTATGAGGTGGTGAGGCCCCTGCAGTGTGGAGCTGAAAGCTGCCATTGTTTTGCTTCTCTTTATAAAGGGAGCTGTCCCATTCCTCCCAGCACAGTGTTGGGAGCAACTCCAGAGTCTCCTGCAAGATGCTGTTGATTCTGCTGTCAGTGGCCCTGCTGGCCCTGAGCTCAGCTCAGAACTTACATGAAGGTAAAACAGAAGGGGAAGAGGATGCAATGACTCTGTGTGGGGTTAGGAGGTGATAATGGTAATTAGGGGGAAGAGAAGAGAATGAAAACCCAGATGGGCCTGCAGAGTTTTCAGGCCTGGGATCAGGAGACCAATTGCACCCTCATTCCACACTAAGGGTTTCTAATTTATTTAACGTACAATGAAATCCAATAAAGAATTTGTTCCAGGGGAATGAGAAGGTAAGATTTGCATTTATAGAGGGATAAGATTGTGCTGTGAAGGATGCAGTGGAAAATGCAAGGCAGATTCAGGGAAATCCAGCTGTGAGCATCCTATACTAATCTCAGTAAGTACAGAGGGATGATGGTGTCCTTGCTGTGCAGTGAATCAGCATCGATGATGGAGATAAATATACATCAGAGATACTGAAGAGACAGAGAATTGGATGGAACACTTGTCTCTGTCTAACTAGAGATATAGAAATATCAGAGCCAATCATTGTCATTTATCTCTACCGTACATGAGGTATTTCAATGTGCTGGGAGTGGGATGGGTAAGATTGTATTGCAATGATTAATTCTGGTTACGCCAATTGAGAAAGCATGCGTACAGAAGCAATGTATTTCTAGGAGGTGGAGGGCATAGGAATACCAAACTATCACATTGAAGTCCCTGGCATGTGTAAACTAAATTAGCAGTAAGTCTTGAGGATGCTAGAGAGGGAAAAAAGGGGCTCTTCTATGTTGAGTTCATGGCTGCTGCTCTCTCATAAGAACCCTGCCTCCCCTTACACCTTCCTTCCTTTCAGCTGCTTCACAGACAGTGGCTGACAAGTTAACTTAGGAGATGCATGGGGTGTGGTGACAAGACCCTTTTCCCTGTAGAACACTTGTGAATCTTGAAAGATTCCAGATGTAACTTTTCCCATCATCCTGTGCTTCTCTTCTAGATGTCGGCCAGGAAGAATCTCCCTCCCTAATATCAGGTAAATCCCAGTTCGTTCTCAATCTGTTTTGACTGTCTTTTTCTGCTGATGAATGGATCAGTTCTCCAGTGTCTTCTTATCAACATTAACCTTTCAGGAATTGATGAATATTAGTGCCCCTAATAATACAGGCAATCTTCCTGCAACCCTGATTCTGGGGACCGTGAGCAGGCCACAAAATTGAATGGGAGAGATACTTGGCTTAGATGTCAACAGGAGTGGGTTGTCTCATTCCCCGACCAGGAGTGCCTGCTGGGAGACGACAGACAAATGTGCAACATCCTCTTTCTGACTCCTCTTTATACTGAGAATCCCCCAACTGCTTTGTTCTTCCCCAGCGTTCTATTCCAGAGTTCTATGTCTTCACCGAAAATGCAAAGTAATTAGTGTCTTGGTCCCATTTTTGTGCGTTTCCCCCCTCAGCTTGTTACTCTAGCTGATCAAAATTTACTGCCACTATTCAGTGAATCTTGTGTGGGTTTTTACTCTGTCTTTCTCTTCTCTCTTTCTCCTTCAGAACATCAACAAGGACAACCCCAACAAGGAGGCAAGAAGCCCCAAGGTCCCCAGTCTCCTCCAGGAAATGCACAAGGACCACCCCAACAAGGAGGCAAGAAACCTCAAGGTCCCCCACCTCCAGGAAAGCCACAAGAACCACCCAAACAAGAAGGCAAGAAACCTCAAGGTCCCCCACCTCCAGGAAAGCCACAAGGACCACCCCAACAAGGAGGCAACAAACCTCAAGGTCCCCCACCTCCAGGAAAGCCACAAGGACCACCCCAACAAGGAGGCAACAAACCTCAAGGTCCCCCACCTCCAGGAAGGCCACAAGGACCACCCCAACAAGGAGGCAATGCCCAGCAGGCTCAGCCACCTCCTGCTGGAAGGCCCCAGGGACCACCATCCGCTCCTCAAGGGGGCAGACCCGCTGGACCTCCCCAGGGACAGTCTCCCCAGTAATCTAGGATCCAATGAGAGGTATGATTCCAGTTGATTCTTCACCAAGTGCTCTAATTGCTACAGGTCTCCAGCTTTAATGTGACAAAGAATCAACTAAAAGCCCATTGACATTGTTTTGTCGTAGAACCCATTTCTAAAGATTTGTGTTCAGATATTCTAGAAATGGGTAACAAGGCCCTATATTTGTAACAAGCTCTTTAAGGAATTCTCATGTTGAGAAGCAATATTCCTAATAATCTGTTTTAAATGGTATTGGCAATGAGGAAGTAGTACCATGTTCGCTCTGGCACTCTGTTTTCTGTGCACACACTCAGAGACCTCCCACTTAGAATTTTCACCTGAGCACTGTTTGCTCTGTCCTGCCTCACTCCAGCCTCTCTAGTCCAGTATTCCTGCCAAGTGGTCCCTGAAGTTTCAGCAGCTAAATGGTGTCTCATTTTTTAAATTCCTACTTTCCAGTTAAGTACGTGATTAAGCTTACCACAAATATCTAATGGAATGGAAACATATGAAGCTAAATTTAAAGACACAACTCATCCTACGTGGCTTCCTTTCTTCAGAAAACTACCACTGTTAACTTTAGGGCATCTTCTCTTTGAAATATTTATGTGTACATGGACAATTAGAATATTTTCCCCCCAGAAGTAATGCCATGATTTATACGCAGGTACATATGTAAGTCATTTAAAAAATACATTTCTTTCAACATTTCCACATGAGTTTATGAAGCTAAGTAGATCTCTTCAGTGGTTATCTGTTTGTTTTTACAATTTTATGCTACTCCATTATGTGACTACACTGTGATTTTTTTAACCAATCCTTGTCACTGGACACTGAGGGTGGTTTCAACTTCTCACTATTATAGAATATGTTCCAGTTACCATCTGTGTAAATATATCCCTGAACAAACTCAGCAGTAAGTAATAACAAGCTAGGAATGATCTTATCTCTTCATCATGTAAGGAATGATTTGGAGCACATTTTGTGCAAGGGAAGGGCATCAAAAGAGGGAGAACACAAAAACTTAGAAAGGAAACACAGGAGGTAGAAGGGATGGGGAGAGAGGGGATGGGCTCTCATGTACTCTACTGCAGTAACACCAGGGAGGAATTAGACATTTCCCGCCATGTCAAGTCTGGTCTATGAACTTCCTTGTCTGTTTGTTTCAGGAAGTGAAAAAGAAGATGACAGTGATTCAAATGATTCAAATGCCATGACATTGGAAGAAGGTGGTCATAGCTCTAACTTCAACATACCAATAAAATCATCAGCTTGCAATTTCTGATTGTGGTGTCTGTTTCTCAATGTTTGTGAATGTGGGATCTGAGGACCAAGATGACATTATAAGAACATCCAGGAACCCTTCTCCTTGATGCTCCAGGAAGCTTCCCTCCTGCTTAATCCTAATTCAGCCAGCTGCCATGAAAAAAGGTTTTACTGTTTCTCTACTTTCCTGTTTTCTATTATTTCCCACCCCCATGATATGCAGTTTTTTTCACCCAAGCTGGAGTGCAGTGGCACAATCTTGGCCCACTGCCCCTTGCATCTCCTGGCTTCAAGCTATTCTACTGCCTCAGCCTTCCAAGTATCTGAGGTTATAGGTGCCCACCATCATGCATGGCTAATTTTTGTATTTTTATTAGAAATGAGATTTCACCATGTTAGCCAGGCTGATTCCCATCTCCTGACCTCAGGTGATCCACTTGCTTTGGCCTCTGAAACTGCTGGGATTATAGGTGTGAGCCACCTTGCCTGGCCCTTGTCTGACTTCTATAGCACCAAGACAAATTTTAAAATTATTTTCAGATTGTTTACTGATATTCCAGAAATCTTAAGGACAAAGAAACAAAACAAATGCCAAAAAGTCACAGAAGCTGAAAGAAATCCTTATAATTTCTAAGAAACGGAGTTTGGTTTCAAGGGAATGAATATGGTTCTGTGTTTCTTAACCCCACAACCTTCTCTCCCATTTACCCTATTTTAACAGTGATCACTTATCTCTCTTTCTATGTTTCTCACCATTCTTTAATGAAACCTGAATGGATTTCATTAAAGAGGCAGCATGATTTAGAGGAACAAAGAATTTGGACACTCTCAGATTTTAATGAAGACCTAACTATTTTTCTTACTATCTTGTGACACTTAAAAGGAAACTTAGACTCTCTAGGCTTCAATATACACGTCTAAAATGAGAATAATCATAACAACTAATTTAGAGTATGGAGGCTAATGAGATAACATACATACTAAAAATCTTGCAGATATTGGCATGTCTGCTTCTCAAGCAAAGAAGGTTGAATATAGAAACTGCCTCTGTGCCCACTGATAACCTCAGCTAATTCATTAAAAAGTCAGAAAAATCAGAACAGGATGATCTCACCATAACCACCAGTAAGTTGAGCAACCCACATTCAGTTGAAGCCCACATCTCCGGTTTCTCTCTGGTTTCTCACCTATTATCACAGGTGAAGCCTTCCTACTCCTATCTCTTAACTTCCCACCTGATTCTGAACCACATTGCCCAGTCAACGATTTTGCTTCCGCATGACCCTTTTGTCTCCTGATTCTTACATCTATGCTCTATGGGATTATTTCAATCAGCCAAAGCCTGTTGAAACATCATGCATTTCTACAGAAGCCTTCCTAAGACTTAGTGCTTCTTTCCTACCATATTATTTCACTGCCATTTTTATTGCAAATGTTCTTGAAACTTATGTATGTGATTATTTCCTCATTCCCCTACTTCCAATTTTTTCTTATGCACACATTATAGATGCTTTTGTTCTTTCCTCTTCCAGTCTGTGAAGGTCATGTATTGCCTCCATTCCACTCATTTAGGAGTCAATCCTCAGTCCTGCATCTCCTTGACCCCTTGGTAGTTTAACACCATTGATCCTACTCTTGTTTTGGGAACACTCTGTCAATCTTTCCAGGAACCTCCCCCTCTCTCCTAGGGTTTCTCCTACCTCTGCCTCTTCCCTCCTACAGCTACAAAGTTCTTCCTCTTCCAAGTATTTTTTGTCTTGATAAAGAATTCATCTAATTAATTAAGCAAACTAGGATTTCTTCTTGACTCTTCTCTTTTCCTCTTTCATCACATTACATTTAGTCAAATAAGCTATGTTATCATTGAGAAGTTCAAGCTTCAAAATAATGTCCTACTGCAGCTTGTTTCATTACTTTCATATTTATCAGCCCATCTAAGCAAGCCTCATCTGCAGTTTACACCAAATAGTTCTATTTATTTCCCAACAGTCAATTACCCACTCTGGCCGTTTAAAAATTATATTAGTTTTCTATGTTTTCCAGTTGATTGCTACCACTTTTACTCTGTAAGAACCAGATGCTTTTTTCCTTTTTTTTTTTTTTTGAGACAGAGTCTTGCTCTGTTTCCCAGGCTGGAGTGCAGTGGCAAGTTCTCAGCTCGCTGCAACCTCCGCCTCCTAGGTTTAAGCGATTCTACTGCCTCAGCCTCCCATGTAGCTGGGGTTATAGGTGCGTGCCACCACACCCAGCTAATTTTCTGAATTTTAATAGAGTCAGAGTTTCGCGAAGTTGGCCAGGTTTGTCTTAAACTCCTGACATTGTCAACCGCCTGCTGCATACTCTGAAAGTGCTGGGATTACAGATGTGAGTCACTGCACCCAGCTGCTAATTTTTACCTATGCTAAAGTGCTATGTATTGCCCCCTAACTCTCTGTGGAATTGGGGGATGCTCTACACCTAATTCATTCTGCTATGGCAACACTGGTCATTGTCTTCTTTTTATGGCGGGGTACAGAAGCATTATGTTTAGATTTTCTGTTTATTAAAATAAACATTTTTGCAGAAATACAAGTTTGATTTTGTTACTAAGATTATGTAGTGCTTAGGTCCCGGCATTATGGTACTCATCGCTCAAATAACAAACACTGCATTTATTAATACCTCACTATACAATCCCTCTGCCTCCCATACTCCCAAATATTAATTGTCTGTCATTTCACTCTCCACATCCATGCAAACACATTCTTTAGCAACCACTTACCAGTGCGAACATGTTATATTTGATTTTCAATATCGAGCCTGTTTTGCTTAAGAAAAAGAGTCCCATTTCCATGCATATTGTCACAATACGTGTGATTTCATTCTGTCTTTCTGACTGAGTAGTGTGGTATTGTATATATATAGTTGTAGTTTTAATCCAATCCTTCATTGATGGATAAATTGTTGATTCAATATCTTTTTTTCTGTGAATATTGCTACAGTAAACATACAGATAAATGTATATATTTGATACATTGACTACTTTTCCTTTGAGGAGATACCCAGTAGTAGGACTGCTCAATGGAAATGTTCTAGCTTTAGTTCTTTGAGAAATCGTACTGTTTTCCATAGAAGGTGTACTGATTTACATTCCCACCAAGGATGTATAAGAGTTCTCCTTTCTCCATATCCTTGCTAACAGCTGTTATTTTTCACCTTTTTATTCACAGTCATTCTGACTGAGGTAAGATGATATCTTACTGTGGTTTTCATTCACATTACTCTGACGATTAGTGATGTTGAACATGTTTTCATTTACTGTTGGCCATTTGTATGTCTTCTTTTGAAACACATCTATTCATGTCCTCTGTCTGTTTTTAATTGATTTTTGTTGTTGTTGAGTAGTTTGAGTTCCTTGTATACTCAGCATATTAGTTCCCCGTAGGATGCATAGTTTACAAATATTTTCCCTCTGCAGTTTGTCTGTTGACACTGTTGATTTATTTTGTTTGTAGAATATTTTAGCTAAATTAAGTGCCATTTGTCCAATTTGGTATTTGTTGCCTGTGGTTTTGGTTTTCACGTCTTAGCCATAAGTTCTTTTCTCAGCCAATGTCCAGCAGTTTTCTTCTTGCATTAATATATGCCCAGGCTCTACATTTAAGTCTTTAATCCATCCTGAGTTAGTTTTCTATATGAGAGATGTGAGAGATAGGGTTCCAGGTTCATTCTTCTGCATATGGCAATCCAATTTTCTCA